ACGGACCCCTGAGGGACACCACTCGTCACTGGTCTCCACCCGGACATCGAGCCACTGACCACTACCCTCTGGACGTGACCATCCAGCCAGTTCCTTATCCACCAAACAGCCCACCCATCAAATCCATAGCTCTCCAATTTAGAGAGAAGGATGTTGTGGGGGACCGTGTCAAAGGCTTTGCAGAAAACAACTAAGAAACACTTGGCTAGAAGGGACTCAGTAGGGTATTTCTAATGTTCTTAGCTGTGGCCCCAATCAGCCTGCTTATCTGTGGGCTGTTAAATATTCAGTGATTTATCTTAATAAGTCAGCTGTTTATTGAGATTAAAAATAGGTGCTTAAAATGGGGCTTTGGTCTTTGAAAGTACGTGCCTTTCTTGGGATGCTCCTCTTACCGGCTGTGGCTGGGGTTGATGCTGATGTACAAGCAGAGTATATCTGGCACTGTGCTTGGTTGTAAAACTTGACTGAGGTCTTCTCTTTTTTCCACTCCTCTGTTTTATTCCAGGAGGTTGGGATGGAGAAAGCTGCCATGGACATGACCCTCTTCCTAAAGCTACAGAAAAGAGTGAGGGAGCTCGAGCAAGAGAGGAAGAAGCTGCAAACCCAGCTGGAGAAAAAGGAGCAAGAGAGCAAAAAACCCCAGGTAAGAGATGGCTTTTCATCGATACTAACATTTGATATTGGTAACTGTCTCTTCTTGATTTCCTGAGGACATGCGGTGTAAGAATTGAGGCTTGAGAGTGACAACTTCTAGGTAAAAGGCAGTAAATCCAGCTGGGAAATGGAGAGAAACTTTTTGGTAGCTAAGGAAAATTGGACAGAACTGATGGATTGGTTTTGGGGGTTTTTTGTTTTGTTTTTTTTGTTTTTTTATAAACTGGTTATAGCAGATTTAGGACAGTATCTTCAGTATCTTGAAAGCAATGAAATGTAGAATCAATTTTGGTGCATTTTATTTTGCCTACACTGGTCCCGTTTCCTTCTCTTTTGAGAAATTTGAACTGTGAACTGAGCTTTGTGAGCAAAGGTCAGAATAAGGAAGGGGAACGTGAGGGTAGGAAGGCTCTGCAGAGGGACCTGGCCAGGCTGGATCCATGGGCCCAGCCCAACTGGGTGAGGGTCAACAAGGCCAAGGGCCAGGTCCTGCCCTGGGGTCACCACAACCCCAGGCAACGCTCCAGGCGTGGGGCAGAGGGGCTGGAAAGCTGCCTGGTG